ACCTTACGCCACAGCTGCGTGCCTGCTCTGACCAACTTACGGTAAGTCGGTCCCCATGCTTGTCGTGCTCGTCGATGAATTTCTGGGTGAAGGAGCCATTGGTGTAGCCATTCGCTGACAAGTTGCCGTCGCAAGCTGATGCCTGGGTCCTTCAAGTGATACAGCACAGCCATGCCAGTGGATAAGCACCTTCCTGGTCCTGTGCCCGCCGCCGACTTCATGGCCATACGTCGTAACTGTAATATACGGCTAGGTGCAATGCCCCAGACCTCGTGCCCATATGACTCCTGAGGGGAGACGCCTGTGGTGAAGAGGCCCTTGGTAATCCTCGCCACTCGCGTCGCCATCCTTCGTAGCCTGAAAATATTGCCCGCTCGCTGCTTGGCCTTTCGCTGGCGCGCCCGAGCCTTTTTCTGTGTGCGCTTGCCCATGCCACTGACGTCGGTGCCCAAGTCCACCATGTCGCTTTGTTGCTTACCAGGGAGTCCTCGGCGTTGCAGTCTGCGCCATATTCGTCTTCGGAGCTTGGGATTGGATGCCACGAGCACCGTCTTGGGCGAGATGATGAGGCTGCGCTTCTCTGCCTGGATGATGAACTCATCGACCAACTCCACCATCTGCTGCTCCACCGTCTCCTCGGTACCTTCGACCCTTCCAACCGTGTCGTCCACGTATGTCCATAGACCCGCTGCCTGGACTCGCTTCTGGGCTGCGTCCAAGAGCGGGAACAGGTACACCTTGGCGAACCTAGTCCCTTGGGCTGAGCCCGCCACGATCGAACATGACGGGTCGATCCTGGGTCCGATCCACTCCGTGTGCTTGAGGTGCCGCGGGCCCTGGAACGCTTCGACCTCCATAGCCATAATTGTCGGTGAGAAGTCCAGCTCGATCCCCGTGTCGATAAGCCATCCCAAGTCTAACGAATCGTAAAACTGCTCCATATCCGCGAACAACTCCGCATGTGCAATGCCCATGGAATGGCCCGTCTCGTCGAGGGTAGCTCGCAGCAAAGTCGCTCGTAACGCCGAGGATCCACGCAACGCTGTATCCCAGTGGTCCTCCAACTGCTGCGTCCACGACTCGGCCACTCCCGACCGCATTCGTGACCATATACGAATCGTCATAGGTAAAAGCCCTAAGACCCGATCACCTCCTGCTGGTTTGCCCGCGATCGCGCCGATGGTGCCTAGGACTTGAGGAGGCCACATCAGATGCTCTTCGGCTTGCGCGATGATATCCAAAAAGTCGTACTTGGCCTGGTCAGGGAGCCTCTCGATGTCCAAGGGACCTATCGCATCGATACCTCGTGCATTCTTGACCCCCATACGGTGGGTGGCTGCGTTGAGGTCCTGGATCGTGAGCTGTGGGAGGTCCTCTTGGGCCGCCGGGAGACGGCAACGTCGAAGAGCGCATGCAAGTGCTGTCTGTCTATGCGGGGCGGCCGTCCACTTCTTGGCCCAACTTTCGCTCTTGTGGCTCATGATGAGGATGGGGTCGGCCACGATCTTGCCTGAGATCATCTCCTCGAGCCGCGGCTGCTGCGTGTCCTTCGTCCATCTGTGGAGGGCTCCAGGGGTCTTCTTCCGCATATCTTGCGCCCACCTGATGAAGCCCTTTGTGCCATATGCCAGCGCTCTCCGCGCAGCTTGCCCTGCCAACCTCTCGGTGATCTCTATCACGTCCTCTCTCTCCTGACGGGCTGAGCTGAAAATGTCGCGCGCCATCTGCTGCCGCTGGTTGAGCAGCTCGATATCGTTGTGCTTGCTGACCACATGTACCTGCTGTATACGCTGTCGAAACTCTTGCCCTCGTTGTAGCAGCTGCTGTGGGTCTTTGTTGTTTTTCACTAGGCCGTTGATCGCGATCACCTGCGTGTGCGTGATGGCCCACCAATCTGCCTCAGAATTGTACAGATGCGGTCTGCCTGGCGATGCTGTGCTCTTTTTCCACTTGATGCCGAAACCCTGCGCCCTTCCTCGATAGCCGTCTCGTTGGTGTTGGGGTACCTCTGAATGTTGCAAAACTGCCTCCTCCACGGCCTCGATCCACCTGCCGTAGCTGTTCGCCAACTTCTGCGCCAGCAGTGGGCGATCACGATAGGCCTGAGGTCGCCAACGGTCCCCTCTGAGTTGAATATCTGGTGGGATGCCAGACAATCCCCATTTGGCATCCTCCCACGTAGCGCTACTGATGTGGAAGTTGATGGACGGTGAGTCCGCGCTTGGAGTCTGAGTTGTCGGGGATGTGTTCGTAGTCGTTGTGCCTGGATCCTGCTCGAGGAGGTCGAAACCATGCCGAAGTACAGGTTCCAGCTCTTCGCGTCTCTGTTGGCGTCGTACCTGCTGCTTACTCCGCTTGCTGTCCAGGTCCTTCTGCTTCTTCGGCCTCGGCACCGTGGGCAACGCTTTGGGAATGTCCAGCGTGCGGTGCCACCATCGCTGCTTCTTGCCTGCCAGCCTGATGCGAAGCCCACAATGCGTCGCCCATGGTACTGTCAGCTCTTTGGCAATGGTAAGCCCTTCCTTGCAGCCCGCGGCGACGACGCCGTAGTCGTAGAGGGAGCCCTTGCCTTTGTCGCATGTGACCTCCTCTGGGCCCGTGACGATCTCGCCTCGCATCTGTTCTATCCAACCAGATGCGAGCAGCTCAGTAGGGACGCAGTTCCAATCCGCCACGACGAGCCATGGGTCCTTCAGCAAGCGCACGAAGGCCGTGAGGGCTGCCATGACCTTTCGGTTCCTGCCCGTGACACGCAGGGTCGGTAGAAGGTACGCCGCGATGATGATGAAATTGCCGATGCTGAGGTGCAGCACCATGGGGGAGAAACCGACGAAGGCCGAGTCCCCTTGCTTGTCGTGCTTGCCCTTCCAGTGCTCCAAGGACGTGGACTGTATGTGTGTGCGCGTGGCGACGAGTTCACCCGCGGACCATCCTTTCTCCGACTTGCCACTGGGGACCGCAGGGGTAATCGCCGCCTTCCATCCTTCCTTCTGCAGGAACGTCTTCATGGCTGAGACTTGGTTTGGCCCCTTATGCGTTTCCACAAACGCCAGGCAATCGAACTGCTGCGCGGCTGGGCCTTGTACGTAGTTCTGCACCTGTGGGCCCCACTCCGTAATGTTGCCGAACAGGACCTGGAACTCCTCGCTCTGCTGCTGGGTGGACTGCGCCTCGCTAAAGCCCAGACTGCTCAGCACCATTAGCCAGACCGTCAGCTTGCTCATGAGCTTCGCGAGCCTTGCGCCTCTCAGCCCTAGCCTGCTCCAAGGCTGCCTGATTGGCGTCCCTGATCTTCTTCTTCTCGTCCTCGGGGTTGATGGCTGCCGCACCTGCGCCGTTGCTTGCGGTCGCTGGCGCTGCTGTGGTGGGTGCCTCTGGCGCAGGGGGTTCCTCTTCCACTGCCTCTGCCTTGGGTCCTTCTGCTCCTGCTTCGACCTTACGCTTCTTTTTGGGGGCCTGCATGGCCTTCTTTGCCTTCTGGTGGATCTCCTCGATGTACTTGAACTTCGCCTGCAGGGTGCCCAGCTGCTCCTTCTGGAACTGCTCCAGCTCGCTCTTCCACTGCATGATGCTGTCCATCTCCTCGGACGGTATGTCGCGCTCCTCGAGGCCCTCGAAGAGCGAGCCGTCGTACTCGAACTTGACGTTGAGGGTCTTCTCATCGGGTTTTACCACGATGATGCCCGACTCCTGGTTGGCCTGCTGGAGCGCCGTGAGATGCCGCTGCTGCACCTCAACCCTCTGCTGGGCCAACTTGTCCATCTTCTCGAGCTGGTCGTCCAAGTACAGCTGCGCGCCCGTGAGCTTCGTCCGCTGCTTCTCGATGCGATTGTCCAGCTCCTTGAGCGCGCGATTGGCGTCGGCCAGCAGCTGGGCGCCCGTACGCTGCTTGGGTGGGGCTGGTGCAGGCTTGGCGTTGGCCTCCTCCTCTTGGGCTTTGCGGCGCAGCGTGTCCAAGGCGGCCGTGATGGTGGGGTCGCTCTTCTCGCCGACGCCCTGGTACGCAGCCAAGCTCGTGATGAGGGAGACCGTGGTGATCGGGTCGGACTGTCCGCCATCGCCCATCTGCGCCTCCACGGTGTCCCAGCCAGCCTTGGTGCTTGCGTACGTGGAGTGCCGCCATGGTGCCCACTTCTTCCACTGCCGTCCCGAGCGTGGCCAACCCGCAGAATGAAATCCATTCTGTGCCCAAACTCCAGACGGTGGCGGTGGGACGCCGACGGTGGGGCGGAGCTTCGCCTTGCACTTGAAGCACTCGACTTTGCTGCTCCAGTTCCACTTGTAGCCGCACGCTTTGCACCCAATATACCCCGCTGCTTTGCCATCGTCTCCCATGCCGCGGGTCGCTGAGCAACAGGAGTGCTCACCTGCGGGCTGCAGGCGGCACGCAGAGTCCTGGGGCGGACCAGGCTCTGCGAAACAGACGGGGTATGCCGCGGACTAGCGGTATCCAGTTTCGCCGATGCGGGCTCCGCCCGCAGAAGCATCAGCCTTGAGCCAAAATGGCTACGGAGGAGGACGAGGAGGAGGAGGAGGAGGAGGAGGAGGAGGAGGAGGAGGAGGGAGGAGGTGGAAGCAGAGGGAAGGCCCAGAGGTGCCGCCCGCAGGAGTACTCATACTCAGAAGCTGGGGCTCCCCGCGCTCGCTGACCCTACCGCAGCGGCGGCCTGGAGCGGCTCAGCCCTCCTTCGGTCGGGCACAGAGCTAGAGGCCTCTTAGATGGGGTCGGAGTAGATGGGGTCGGAGGATCGCGTCGCATCGCCGATACATCGGCGATACATCGGCGATGCATCGGTGATGCACCGGCGATGCATCGTCGCCGACGTCGACGTGAAGCAAATCGGGCCCCACATCGAGCCGCATCGGCGATGCATCGGCGATGCAGCGCGATCCTCCGACCCCATCTACTCCGACCCCATCTAGGAGGCCTAGAAGAGCGCAAGGTGACCCCTGGCAAGGGTGGCCTGCGTTGCGCGCCCGTGGTCAGAGCCCCGAAATCATCAGGGCTGGGGGCGGGCAGGAGCAGCTGCAGGAGTTTCCCCAGACCCGAGGCATCCTGGAGAGCTCGGGCGCCCGACCACTCGCGAATCCTCGGGGCTGGTCGCGGTCGGGGGCAGCTGCTGGTTCGCGCGTCGGGGGCCCGAACTGGAGCTGCCCTGGACCGGAGCCATCCAGGACAATGCGGGCGTCCAATGTGGGGGGGCAAGTCCAAGCGCGCGGGCAATTGCTGGGGGGCCCCGGCGGGCCTGCGACCCAGGTCACTCCGGCGAAGGGTCACTCTCACGCGTGGCCGGGTCCTGAGGGGCGGCCCGCTGCGGGGGCTGCGCGGCGGCCCAGGACGAAGGGCTGGAAGTCCGGGTCGCGCACGCGCCTCAGGCGGGGTGCCTCCCACCTTTTGCGGGATGAAACTCAGCTTTCGGAGCTCCACTCGGATTTTTTGGGCCGGCGCTGGCCCCCACCAGAGGCGCCGCCAGGGGCCTCACCAGAGGCGCCGCCAGGGGGGTCCAACGCAGATCCAAAAGATCCGAGCGGGTTGTCGAATACAACTGCCGACCCTTCCCCCTGACCTGCACCCATTCCTTTGCGCCTCGAGGGCAACCCCTTAGCTTTGTCGTCGTGCTGGCGGTGACAGTGGGGCCGTATATGCCGTGGGCAGCGCGGGGGACGGTGCCGGGGTCTGGCAAGACGAAGCGAGGACGAGGATGAATTCGGGTGAGGATAAATCGAGAATCTCTGAGATCTGGCGGCTCTGGAGGATGTCTCGGGCGCCGCGGCCTTCTCAGAGCGATCCAGGACGCTCTGGAACGGATTGATCCTAATCCTAGCCCCGTCCGATCTGGGCCCCAAGTCTGCGACACATTCGAAACATCCGCGCGCACCACAAGAATGTGTTTGTGGCGGTTTCGTTCTGCACCTCCGACCACCTGCTGATGTTCGCGGCGAGGCCCTGCAGCTTGGCCACGGAGACGTCGAGCCCGCGCGCGCCGACCGGGCGGCCCGAGCACGTCTTGCGCCTGTGCCACGCCCTCTGGAACTCGGTGGCCACCTCGCTGGAAACGAAATTGAGGAAGGCGTGCCCCTTCGTTTTGCCAGAAGCGAAGTCACGGGGCATGTAGCAGAAATCCACCCTGCCAGCAAAACCCGAGCGGTGGACCTCCCCCAGCAGCTCTTGCTGGCTCATCTCCTGGGGCAGGCTGCGCAGCATCAGAGAGGTCACGCCTGCTTGATCTGCGGAGCGGCCCTCCCCGTGCCCCCCCTGCAGCTCGTGGGGTGGGGCCGCTGCCGCAGCGCCCGCCGCGCCCACTGCCGTGCATGCCACCCGCGCCGCCGCCGCCGCTGATCCCTGCTGGGAGGCTGCAGCGCAGCCGGGGCCTTCTGCCGCGGGCGCCGCCTCTGAGCATCGTCTAAGTCACACATCCCTATCCCCACCGTCGCGGCCTTGGCTTTGGGCCCCACCCCACTGGCCGAGTTACCCACCTCTGGGTCGTGATCTGCCTCATCCCAACGGGTCTCGCAGGGCGTAACCTTGGAAAGTCATTAAGGCCCCCCCTGCGTTATCGGTAGCACCGCGCCGAACAAACAAAATTCTAGACGCGTCGCGTAACCCCACCAGTTTGTGAGTGGGCCGGCCGGCCTGTGCCTGTTGTAGCTAATGAGCCTCGTTCACGCCCCGGACTCTGCTTTCGCGGCCTGACCCTTGTCTCGTGGCCGCGACCCCCAAAAAGTAACCCCACCAGGTCTGACTCCGCTTGCGCCTTCGCTGGTGGACGCGACCGAAAAACGTACCCCCACCAGGCCCCGAATTTCCTGGCATTTTGCTAGGCTGCATGTTGCCCGAGCTTCCCTGGGTGCCCTCAGCCTGTCAGCTTCAGCGCGGCACTGCAGCTGCTTTGTGAGCTGACCCGGCCGGCCTGCGGCGCGCCCAGTAGCTAATTAGGCCGTTTCCGCGCCCCGGACCGCTTCTGACTCCGCCTGCGCCTTCGCTTGCGGGCGCGACCAAAAAAAGTACCCCCACCAGGACTGTGCGTGCGTGTAGGACACTCTCTGTCTCGGCATGGCACCTACACCGTGGTGGACTGGCGCCGCGGCGCACAGTTGGGAATTCCCTGGCACTTTGCCACAGGTCTGCATGATGCTCGAGCTTCCCTGGGCGTTGCAGTTCAACCAGTCAGCCCCCCGCCTCCTCTGCCGCAGCTGCTGCCTCTGAGGGCTGGCCCGGCCGGCTCGCGCTGCGCCTTGTAGCTAATTAGGCTTGCCCGTTGGCCCGGACTCCCTTCTCGCCGCCTGCGCTTTCGCTTGCGGCTGCGACCAAAAAGTAACCCCACCAGCCCATCCAGAAACGATGCCCAGAGGAATTGCCTCGATCAGGGACGTGGGCAGCACACAGAGCAAGGGTCCCCCAGTGGAGGCATCTTGGAGCGTCTTGGGGGCCTCTTGGCGGTCCCAGACGCCTCGTAGAGTGTCTTGGGTGCCTCGGACAACTTCTTGGGGCCTCTCGGGGGTCTCTTGGGAGCCTCTTGGAAGCCTCCTGGGCGCCTGTTGGGGCCTCCTGGGCGCCTCTTGGGGCCATCTTGTAGCGCTCTTGGGAGCCTTGGGAGCGCTCTTGGGGCCATCTTGGGGAACATCGAGCAAACAAGAGGGGGGCATTAATTAGCGCTGCCCCTCGGGAGCCCAAAAAGTCGCCTCTTGGGGCGCTGCCGGGGCTTGGGCGCTCTTGGGGCCGTCTTGGGGTTCTCTTGAGCCTCTCTTGGAGCCCTCTTAGGCCATCTTGGGGTCATCTTGAGGCCTCGGATGGCCATCGGAAGCGACAAGGCGAGAAAGCCAAAAACATGGATTCCCCCAAGGTTTTGGAACGATTTGGGCCTCTTCGGGGCCTCCAGGGGGGCTCTTTGGCCACTTGGAGCCGTCTTGGAGCGGTCTTGGGGCCTCTTGGAGCATCGTGGGTGCCATCTTGAAGCATCTTGGGATATCTTGAATAGTCTTTGCGGTCATCTTGGGCTCGCCCAGGCGCTTTTGGAGTCATCGTAATCAGTGCCCCCCCCCAGGAGGCCAACACGTGGCCAAAACCTTAGTAGAATCAACAATGATTTTGGCATTCTCGCCGAGGCCTCTTGGACCGCTTTGGGTGCCCCTGGGGGGCCTCTTGGGGCCTCTTGGGGGTCTCTTGGTATCCTCTTGGGGGCATCCTGGGGGCCTCTTGGGGGCCTCTCGGGGCCACCTCGGAGGAGATCGATCAAAGAAGGAGGGGGTCCTTAATTAGGGCCCCCCCTCTAGGAGGCCAGAAGGGCCAACACCTTAGTAAACCAATGAGTTTGGCTTGCTCGCCGGGGCCGTTTTGGACGCTCCAACTGCCCGCGGGACCTCCCGTCCAGGTCCAGGTGAAGGGGTAGGGGGAGAGGGAAACCCCTCCCCGCAGGGGAAGAAGGGGGTTGGAAGAGGAAGATCCCTAGACCACCTACGCCCTGAAGGGCTGGTGGGATTGGGTGATTTTGCCCGATCCATGCGGGCACCCCCCCACCATCCCTTGTAGTAAAAAAATACTACAAACACACACTCTGCCCCCACCGTCTATTGTAAACAGCCATGCAAACCACAATCTGCCTCCAAATTCGGAGCATGCGCAGCGAACTCGATGCCGCCTCCTCCCACCATCCTTATCAAAAAAACAATCCAGAGTACACTTGGCGGCGGCGGCGGCTGCGGCGGGGGCAGCGGCTGTGGCTTCTGCGGCGGTGGCGGCGGCGGGGGCGGCGGCGGCGGGGGGCGGCAGCGGCGGCGGCGGCGACGGCAGCGGCTGCGGCGGCGGCGGCGGGCGGCGCGGTGGCAGCGGCGGCGGCGGACAGCGGCGGCGGCGGCGGCGCGGCAGCGGCGGTGGTGGGCGGCGGCGGCGGCGGCGGATGCGCCCCCAGTGGCTGCCCATTCAAACACGACTGCTGCATATGCTGCGGCTCGGGCCAGGCTCGGGTGCTACGTATGTGTTGGGAGGGCGGGTGGGAGTGAGCGAGACGGCTTGCGGGCGGGGAGGGAGACTCTACTCTTGACCCCTCCCCGTACCGTACCCCCTCCGCTGGACCTGGACGGGAGGTCCCGCGGGTAGTTCGAGCGTCCAACACGGCCTCGGCGAGGAAGCCAAACTCACGGGTTATGCTAAGGTTTTGGCTCCATTTTGGCCTCTCGGGGGGGGGGGGCCCTCGTTAAGGACCCCCCCTTCTTTGATCGATCTCCTCTGAGATGGCCCAAAGATGGCCCCCAAGGCTCCCAAGGGTGCCCCAAGAGGGCCACAAGAGGCGGCCAGGAGGCCCCCAAAGGCCCCCCAAAGGTCCCCAGGATGCCCCCAAGAGGCTCCCAAGAGACCCCCAAGAAGCCTCCCCAGAGGCACCCAAGACGCTCTAAGAGGCCCGAGAATGCCAAAATCATTCATTCGACGAAGGTGTTGGCCACATTTTGGCCTCCTGGGGGGGCACGGCATCAGATGACTCCAAGAGCGCCTGGGCGAGCCCAAGATGGCCTCCAAGATGGTCAAGATATCCCAAGATGCCTCAAGACGGCTCCCACGATGCTCCAAGAGGCCCCAAGACCGCTCCAGCTCCAAGACAGCTCCAAGTGGCCAAAGAGCTCCCTCTGGAGGCCCCGAAGAGGCCCAAATCGTTCCAAAACCTTGGGGAAATCAATGTTTTTGGCTTTCTCGCCTTTTCGCTTCCGATGGCCATCCGAGGCCTCAAGATGGCTCCAAGATGGCCCAGCAGGGCCCCAAGAGATGCTCAAAAGAACCCCAAGACGGCCCCAAGAGCGCCCAAGCCCCGGCAGCGCCCCAAGAGGCGACTTTTTGGGCTCCCGAGGGGCAGCGCTAATTAATGCCCCCCTCTTGTTTGTTCGATGTCCCCCAAGATGGCCCCAAGGGCGCTCCCGAGGCCCCCAAGAGCGCCTCAAGGAGGGCCCCAAGAGGCGCCCAGGAAGCCACAGGAGGCCCCAACAGGCGCCCAAGGGGCCTCCAAGAGGCTCCCATGAGACCCCCAAGAGGCCCCCATAAGTTTTCCGAGGCACCCAAGACGCTCTGGAGGCGTCCGGGGCCGCCAAGAGGCCGCCAAGACGCTCCAAGAGGCCTCCACTGGGGGACCCTTCCTGTGTGCTGCCCACGTCCCTGATCGAGGCAGTTCCTCTAGGCATCGTTTCTGGGGTGGCTGGTGGGATTACTTTTTTGGGTCGCGGCCGCGAGACAAGGGTCAGGCGGCGAAGGCAAAAACTGGTGAGGTTACGCGAAGCGTCTAGAACTTGCAATAATTTCACGGATTGAAAGCGGCTCGCCTTCAAAATGTGGCTCTCGCCTTAGCACCGCGCGCATTCCCTTCAAAAGGTTGCACGGACTTCACGGATTGAGGGCGGTTCGTTTTCAAAATGTGGCTCTCGTTTTAGCGCCGCGCATGATCGCTTGTACATTGCACGAACGTCACGGGTTGAGGGCGGTTCGTTTTCAAACTGCAGCTCTCGCCTTAGCGCCGCGCGCATTCGTTTTTTATAGTTCCGCGAGCTTCACGGATTGAGGGCGGCGTGTTTCCAAAATGTAGTTTTCGCCCTTGCGCCGAGCACGCTCGTTCCGAAAATGTGCACAAACTTCGCGGATTGAGGGCGGTTCGTTCTCAACGTGCAGCTCCCGCCTTTAGCGCCGCGCACATTCGTCTCTAACAGTTTCACGAATTTCACGGATTGCGGGCGGCCCACTTGCAAACTGTAGCTTTCGCATTTGCGCCGCGCAGATTCGTTTCGAACAGCTGCACAAACTTCGCGGATTCAGCGCCGCGCGCATTCGATTTTGAAAAAAAACACGAGTTCCACGGGCTGAAAGCGGTAAGCTCTCAAAATGCAAAATGCAGCTCTCGCCTTAGCGCCGCGCGCATTCGTTTTTTTTTTTTGTTTTTTTTTTGTTTCTCTTCTTTGTTCTTTTTTAGTTTCACGGGTTGAGGGCGGCGCGTTTCAAAAATGTAGTTTTCGCCCTTGCGCCGAGCTCACTCGTTCCGAACATGTGCACGAACTTCGCGGATTGAGGGCGGCTCGTTCTCAACAGGCAGCTCCCGCCTCAGCGCCGCGCACACTCGTCTCTAACAGTTTCACGAATTTCACGGATTGAGGGCGGCACGTGTGCAAACTGTAGTTTTCGCATTTGCGCCGCGCACATTCGTTTCGAAAAGCTGCACAGGCTTCGCGGATTGTGGGCGGATCGGTTTCATAATGTAGCTTTCGCCTCAGCACGAGTTTCACGGGCTGGGGCGGTTAGCTCTCAAAATGCAGCTCTCGCCCTAGCGCCGCGCGCATGTTTTATACGAGAAATTTCAATCATTATATTTTCATGTAAAAAACATCACGAGCTTCACGGAACAAGGGCGGCACGAAACC